TGGGATAGTTGAGTCATATGGTAACTCAATATTTTTTTTTTTTTTTTTTTGGTACCAGGGATTGAACTTGGGTCCTCGCACTTGAGCAGCAGGCAACAAAACCACTGAGCTAAATCCCCGCCCAGTAACTCAGTTTTTATTTTGAGGAAACTTAAAAAGTTTCCATAGTGGCTATATTAATTTACAATCCCACAGCAGTGTAGAAAGGCTCCTTTTCTCCTGCATCCTCGCCAGCATTTATTGTTTTCTGTTTTCTTTTTTTGAGATTGGTCTCACTATGTAGTCCAGGCTGGCTTTGAACTTGCTATTATGTGTGGGCTTGAACTCTTCTTGATCCTCCTACCTCAGTGTCCAGAGTGCTGTGGTTATGGGCAGGCACCACCAGGTTTGACTGGTTTAGTGTTCCTCATGATAAGCCATTCTGACTGAGGTGAGATGGAATCTCCATGTAGTTTTGATTTGCATTTCCCTCAGGGCTAAAGATGTTGAATAGTGTTATACTGCCTATTTATTGATTGGGCTATTTGATTTTTTTGGTGTTAAGTTTTTCTGAATTCTTTATATTTTTTTTTATAGCAATCCAGTTGGGAGAATAGCTGACAGATTTTTTTTCTCCCGTTCCGTAGGCTGTCTCTTCATTTTGTTGGTTGATGCTCTTGCTGTGGAGAGATTTTTAATTTGATGTTCATTCTTGCTGTTATTTCCTTTATAGGTGTGCTAATTAGGAAGTTTTTGCCTCTGCCTATGGCTTCAAGTGTTTGCTTTGTTTTCTTTAGCAGTTTCAAGTTTTCAGGTCTTATATGTGGGTCCTTGATCCATTTTGAATTGATTTTTGTACAAGGAGATAAGGTTCTAGTTTCATTCTACTGCATTAGGATATCTACTTTTCCCAGCACTATTTGTTACAGTTAAATAAATCATGTTTCTGCAAAAAGAACTATCAATGAACAGAACAAGGTGAAGAAAGAAAGGAGTTTGAGATTAAAGGATTTAGTTTGCTCTCTCCTGAGTTCTCTGGATTGGCTAGTTAATTTTAATGCTATAGCAGTGGTTCTAGAAATAAAACGAATTTCTGGAAGCCACAAGGCTCACACAACCTTGGGAAATTTCAGAAATGTTTATCATCACACTGGAAAAGCAAGGGATTTGTCCTTGTTATTATGGCCAGGGTTCATCTGGACCCCACTAAAGTGAGGGCTGAGGGGTACATTCATCATTCTAGCCCTGAGTACTTCACAACAGTTCCTTTGAACTGACACAACTGTGCTCAATCAGTTGCCAGAGAATAACTTCCCTCCTCTGCCCTCTGGGTACTGGACATATGGGAAAACAGAAGCTCCATACAAATATAATGCATGGATTTATTTCCCATATTTAGCACTTTTCTAACAAGTTTGGTGTTCAAAAATTCCTAAAATAAAAATATAAATTTTGTTGATTGCAAAATGTTTAAATACTTCTATTGTATTTATTATTGCACAGTAGCTCCTGTAATATTGTTTGGGATTGGCAAAGATTTTCCATTAGTCTTGTAGAACTTTTAAACTTGAGCTATCTACACAGAGATAGTGAAAGGGGCTCAATGTAATTCTCCAGCTATGGAATGGATGACTGTGACTCAACAGTACCTTAGCCAAAGCTTTGGTTTATTTTAATTTTTGAGTGACACTGTGGTTTTAAGTAAGTGGATTTGCAAATAGCTGTCTTGTGTATGTTGCACCAGAGCAGATACCATCTAATAGCTATGTTTCCTAACCTTTCTAGTAATTGGCACACTTGAAAATCTTAACGTCTTCCCAAGGCCTAACCTGATCCTTGTCTCTGACAAATGGCTGGGTTTGCTGGTGAGAATGTGGACTGATAAAAACATACTTGATTCTATTAACAAAGAAAAACAAAGAGGTGTTTTAGAGAAAGAAAGTAGGACGTATTGAAGAAATGGAAATAAATGGATAGAAAACTGAAAGAACAATGATGGAGAAATGAATAAGATGAAATCAGATGGAAGGCACACCTGACAGCTCTTATGAAATCTCCACCCCTCACAGTCAGCTTCTTGGCAACTTCCCAGCGCTGTGAAGTGTTTCTGCTTCCTAATGGATTCACTAGGCCACTTCTCACTACTCATTTGTTTACCATCTCCATTTTGCAGGCATGGAGGTGTGAGGCTTAGTGTTATTTTCTATTGTGCCGTAACAAATTACTCCAAACTTGGGGGTTTAAACAACACAAATGATGATCTTACAGCCATGTAGCTTGGAAGTCTGCCATGGATTTCATATCCTACCAACAAGAGGTCAGCAGTTCTTTTCTGAAGACTGCATACTTTCTTTGTTCAGTCTGGTTGTAGGCAGAATTAAGTTCACTGCAGTTGGAGGACTAATATCTATGTTTTCTAGTTGGTCGTCAGCTGAAAACCACTTTCAGCATTGAGAGGCCATAATGCATGACCCCCTGCCTCCATCTTTAAAGTCAGGGACAGAAGGTTAAGACCTTTCAATGTTACAGCCAGGACAAGTCCATTTGCCACAAAAGACATTCACTGCTTCTGGTCATTAGAGGGGACATCTTTGGACATCTGAGAGTAGCAGGTGGTGAGCGGACTGGGCACTGGTAGGATGTGAGGGCTATTTTCTTTACATAAAAGGTCTTGTTTTCACTTGAGAACATGAAATTTGGAGGGCCAAATAAGAACTTTCTCGCCCTTTCTGGGTGAGAGGCTCTAAGTTTAGTCTTTTTAAAACAACAAATGCCAATATGTTGTTAAAATTGAGAAGAAAAAAGGCACCTAGAAAATAAATGGGGCATGAATCATAGTTTTAGAAAAGGACCTAGAGATCATCTTAAAGAATGTGTTAAACTTTTTGAGATAATTATAGTTTCAAGTACGATTTTAAGAAACAATCCCTACACCGTTTTCTCTGGTGGTAACAGTTTTCGGTAACTGGCACAGGTAGTCTACCTTATGCAGATTTCACTTCTCTTACGGACACTTATTTGTGTGGGTATGAACATTTGGTTCCATGCAATCTTATCATGTGTTGATTCCAATGACCACCTCAGTCGAGATTAGAATAATTTAGTTCTGTTTAAAGTGAGATCTTTAAGGTGGGCAGCGGAACCACTGAGCTAAATCCCTGGCCCCTAAAGTGAGCTCTTTAAGCTGCAAGAGTTCCACCTAGGTGCTTCAAGGGACGTAGCACAGAGGGGTCAGGGTTAGGCCTAATAAGTGGTACTCAAGCACTTTGCTTTCCCTTTAGACAGAAGCCTGCTATTGTCTGCTTTATGTGCTGAGACCACACATACTAAACTATCTGATGAAAGTATCCCACAGCTAAAAACCACTGGCTTGGTCCAATACTTTCTCTTTGCAGAGAAGAAACTGTATGTATGCATGTCTATGGGCTCCAGCCTGCTCATCATGATCAGTAGCATTTGCCTAAGTTAGCTAGTGCGCAACATAAACCACTCAAACAAAACAGAACACTGCCCACCCCACTTCCCTCATATGGGAACACCTTAAATCTAGAAACCATAATATGATCATTTACGGTATTTCCCATCTTAATTAAATATTTTGTTCACTTAGTATTAAATTGTCAGGAGAGTATGAATTTTAATTTGCTTCACTGCCAGGTATGTAGTAAGTAACCAATTAGTGCCTTGAGGAAATACTTGACTTTACTTGACAGAGTGCGGTCAACTCATGAACATGTAAATATAAACAACTGTGTTGTTTGGATGGCTAGATCCTTCAGTCATTGGAAGGAGATGGTTTCTCGGTAAAGTTAGAGTTAGTACAAGTACAGCGAACAGAATTTAGAGTACAATGGGCTGTTCGCTGATTGTGTAGCCTTTGGACAGGTGTTCAGTTCTGCAGATTTTAGGAGGAATATTCATAACTAGAGTACTTTGGAGAGAAACAACTAGAGTGTGACAGGATGTCACAGGGAAACAGGACACGCCAGCAGACAAGATTTGAAGGAAACAGGACACCATTTTTCAATGTTTAGGAAGCAGTCCTATGAAGAATGATTGTATAATAGAATTACTATAGAACAGTAGCAACAAGCAAAGTACATTTTATCCTCAATATATGGAAAGCCTTTTTTTTTCAGACAGGGTCTCACTATGTAGTTCAGGCTGGCCTTGAACTTGCTGCAATCCTCATGCCTCGACCTCCTGTGTGATGGGATTACAAGTGTGCACCACCATTAACAGCTAGAAAGCCTTTTATAATAAGCAGAACTGTTTTGGTTAAATGTGGTGCCACATCTGTAATCCCAGAACTCAGGAGGCTGAGGCAGGATTGCCTCAAGGTTGAGGCCAGCTTGGGCTACATAGTGAGTTCAAGGCTAACCTGCTAACTTGGAATATAAAGCAAGACCCTGTCTCAAAAAAAAAAAGTTTCAAAATGGAAACAGAAGTCCTTACAGAGTGGTGACCTTCCTGGTACTGAAACCATTTAAACTGAAGCTTTTAAAAGACGAATTTGAGGGATTTCTGCACTGGGTGGGAAATTGGACCTTATGGTTTCTAGGTTCCCTTCTGGCTAAAAATTATATGTACAGGCAAGATATATATAAATATTAGTAATAGTGGCCTAAATCCTAGTCTGCCCAACTGTGCATAAAAAAACCTGATAATTTATTTGGTTATATAAGATTCCTTATGAGAAAACCGATAGACATACTTTAATGTACTCATTTTCAACAGATATTTATTGAGCCTCTACCATGTGCCTGGTGGTGCTCCTGTACTGAGGGTATAACCATGACCAGAGGTAGTTCCTGCCTGTATTGACAAAGCGAGTATGAGAGCAAAGGATATGAAACAGGATGATGGGAGACATAGATATAGATATATACCCCACTTAGTTATGAATTTAAACCTTGGTAATATTATAAGAATATAAAACATAAAACCTAATTCAAAATTAGGAATGTTAATATGTTAAATAGACTGGAAGACGACATAGAAAATTACAGTCAACCAGATACTAAGGACAGAAAAGAGAACAAATTATTTGATTTTATTAAAAACTTCCAGTTTATAACCAAAATATACAACCACTACATTTACGTTTGTACACTCACAGTTAAAGTGCTAAGAAAAAACATTTACAAAAGCGGACATCGGTCTACTGTAAACAAAATAAATCTACGAGAGCAGAGTGCAGAGCACAACCAGCTAGTGAGGAGCACGGCGCATGCCCAACCCAGTGCACTTGCCCTGCACAGACTCCACGGCGGCGCCCTCACCTGGAAACGCACGGGCACTTCCGGCGAATGTATGCAGAGGGAGCATGGAGAACTAATGCCACGAAATACAAGTCTTCAGCGTAAGCATTAACTAGATTTCAGAATCCATGTAGAATCGCCTCAGCAATTTAATTCAGTATAGAATTTGAAGAAACTAAATTGCTAAGTGCCAGCTATTTTAGAAATAATAATTTTTTAGAATAAAAAGGACTACCTTTCCTACCCTTACATCTCTTGACAAATTGTGGGTAACAGTAAAATGGGGACTTTATCAGCATGGACAGTGTTCACCTGTAAATTTCCTACCAATGACCAGAGCTGGAAGAGAGACTTACTGTGAGGTGAGGTAGAATGAGATGGAAACACAGTCTTATAGAAGATGTGATGAGGGAAATCTGGGATGCACCAGACGCCACCTTAATTGAAGGAGAAAAAAAGCACCAGCAGGCTGACTTCACAAGACGCACACATACAGTGACCTGCTCCCTTCTTAAAGGGCACTGGCGTAGGCGTATTTTCTGACATCACATGGCTTCAGGGCAAGGGGGAGCATTCCAACTGAGGTCACTTTAGGATACATCTTGCCTCAAGATAGTCTCATCAACACCAACAAAATAATCCTCACTTTTGTTTTAAAGTTTAATTTTTTGCTCACTGAGATAATTTTGTGCCAACAGCAACATATTTCTTTCTTTGTTTTAGTACCGGGGATCAAACTCAGGACCTTGCGCTTGCAAGGCAGGCGGCAGAACCACTGAGCTAAATCCCTGGCCCAACATATGTGTTTTTCATGCAGATTTCTCTAACTGAGAAAAAAGGGCTAGAGTCATTAACACTTTAATATAAATGAGTTAAAGCAAATTTCTTTTTCTGAACACATGAGATGGGTCACAGTTTGGAAGTACTAATATGGATATTTGAGACCGGGGCAGGCAGAAGCAGAAAGGTTTTGGGGATGTGGTATTTGAGGAGCAGGTCAGACACAGGCAAGGCTCGGGGTATCACAAACACATCACCTTGGAAGAAGTATACCAGAGTCACTGAGATTCAAGTTAGCTTTTTCTACTGTAAAAATTTAACCAAAAACAAGATGGCTAAAGTAATTCTAGAGTGTACTATGCACTAGGTTAGCTTTTGCTGGCTGTTATCCTTATTATTCATTATAATAGAATTTATATGGGAAATATAATCTGAGTTTGGAACAACCTAATATACAACTTTCTAGATCAAAAATTGAGTTTTCTGAATAGGAGCTTCATCTTTTTATATGCATTTTTATACTCGTATACTTCTATAAGCATAAAATCTTTAAATGACTTTTTATGCAAAATTGATCACATAACATTATTACTTTACAGAATGTCTACCAAGAAGATAAAATTCTTTAGTTAACAAAATTTGAGTCATAGAAGCAAAAGGAGTTATTTTGCCTCCAAGTGATATTTATATTCTACTATGTACTTTTGATTACTGCAATAACATCTCACAGTTGAAAACTACACAGCGAGTTAATGAAAGGGTTATGTAACTTATGTCCCAAAGGTTTTGCTTTAATATGATAAAATATCTTGGAAAACTAGAGAATTTAAGCAGTAGGATGAAGTAGAATTGTCTTGAGAAGACTGTGGTTCCCTGTAGAGTCTCCTTCATAAAGCCCGATAGGCTGATAAACAGAGCTAGGATGAGAGCTTAGGATGACTATTCTAAAAGATCTTTTGTTTGGTTGCTTCTTGAATATATTCTATGAACTTGCTAACATTTGGTCCTTTTGACCCATAAAATCATCAATTTCACATAGCTCAGAAATGTTACCCAACCATGACCCTGTAGCAAGAACCTCCTTGGCCTGATTCTCAGAGAGAATGAGTGATCTACAGGGGAGTTGTCTGCTGAGAGAGGACCAGGATAACCTAACATATACAGCAATGTGCAATGCCAAGAAAACAAGGCAAAACAGAAAAAGGCTCAAAACACAGCTCACACTAAGTAAATATGAGCTCTAGGTATTACATATTACAAAAAGTGAAATGATCATTATTGTAAATATATAATCTTCCAAATTCACTATCAGATTAAAGTTCAGAAAAGTACTTCTGTAATTTAAACATTTTAATTCTGAAGAAACAGCTTCCACAGCTATTTGAAATAACAAAATAAGCCAATTGAATTTAGCTTTGGATCTGTCAATAAACTTTTTTTAGGGCTGGGGGAAAGGATGGGGTAGTGATGTCTTCACCCTGCAAAGTGTATCCGCACTGTAACCCTCCTTCATATGTACAATACTTCGAAACTTCAGTGAGAATTCGAAAACAAAATCTGACAATTGGAAATAAAAGTGGAAATTGCTTGAAGTTAGTGTTAAAGACATGAAACAGGATTATTCTGGAGAAGGTGTTATAAAAAGATGAATGATAAAACATTCAGATTTAGCTTGATAACTCATAGCTATAGTAGAAATAGTGCCTGATGACAAAGGAACTTCCAGAGTGATATTTCTACACTGGAGAGTCCTTTTCATGATTTTTAAAATCTGAATTTCACATACAAAGAAGATATATTATTATTTTCAAGTATATATTCACTTTAGCTTAATATAAAAAGAACTGCTTTGTTGATCTTGTCAGGAATAAATTATTTCATGTTTCTGTTGACAAGATTAGTTCAGGAAAACTTTATCTGAGGCAGAGATAAAGGAAGACATCTGTCAATTTTCTTTTCAAAACTGAAGACAGAAGGAGTAGCTAAATAGGAAAATGGTAGATAGATGAATATATAAATCACTTAGGATTACTTAGCTTATCTTACAGAGTATGTTATTATCAAAACCCAAAAAATAGTCAAAGAAATTAGACCTTGGGTCCAAATTTAACAAATGTGACAACAAAGACTTGCAGAGGCAGAAAATGAAAAATTTGTTGTTTTTACAATCAATCTCAATAACATTACAATAGTCATGTGTTGTTTAATAAAGGGGGCACTGCCTAAGGAATGTGTTGTGAGGCGATTCTGTCACTGAGTGAACATCACTGGGCGTACTCTCAATCTAACATGTCCCTGATTTCACTAGGGATATAATCTTAGGGGGGATCTTTGTAGATGTGGCCTGTCCATAACTGAAACATTGTTATACGACATATGAATGTACAGGCACCTCTGAGTTAAAAGGAGTGGGCATCTAATTTAATTTCTGGAAGCCAGGAGGGTTACATGATCCAATGAAATGACAAGACAAGGAAACAAGTGTAACTAAAGAAATCACACCAGAAGCTGGTACACCTTCTATTTTACTTTTGCACTATTCTTCTTTACTCATCAGACCTCAAACCCAAAAACAGACTGAAGTGTTCAAGAGACTGAGATGAGCTAATGTAGACAATGAGAGCAAATACAGTGATCTTTAAAAGTAACACGAACCTCCTTGGCCTTCTTCTCGGAGAACACTGTTAAGCCGCTAGAGAATCCTGCTGAAAGATGAATTAATAGAATCCCTACATTTCACCATAATTAAGAGCCCTTCTGGAAACATACTCTGCATAGCCAGAAAAAAGAACAAACCATACTTACTTCTAACTATTTTAACCAGGACATTTACTTGTCCATGGCAATCTGGCAATTATACTTTTCAAAGAATCCAAGAATGCAGTTTAATAATAACTATAACAAAAAACTTCAATTAGTTCCTCTATGTTTCTTTCAGATTTTATAATTATTTTAATGTTGGTAAAACCTGATAGTTTTTAAATGAGAAAATGGGCCAGTGTTATCACTTAATTGTTCATTAATTTTATCCTGAATACATTTGCTTTTCAGTACTTAGGATCAAACCCAGGCCTGGCACATGCTAGGCAAATGCTTTACCACTGACCTCCACCCAGCCTCAGTGAATTAATTCTGGGTAAAGCTTAGGCTAAGTAGCTGTATTCTTTTTTTTTTTTTTTTTTGGTACTGGGGATTGAACTCGGGGCCTTGCGCTTGTGAGGCAGGCGCTGGAACCACTGAGCTAAATCCCCAGCCCAGTAGCTGTATTCTTCTGTAAGAGAACAAAGACCACAAAGTTTTATGTTAATTTTTTTCTGTACATCCATTTAAGGTGCTTACAAAGACTTTTCCCATAAAAAAGATCAGGGACATTATTTATAACTCTTCTTTCACTTTTATTATTTTTTCCCTAATATAATTTTCCTTTTTAAAAATTACTTAAACTCATGGATGGAAAACAAAGTTAATAACATATCTGAATCCTATCAGGTTAAGTCTAAATTTCACTAAGAGTACAAATTGATCTAATAAATATGGTTCATGGGAAGAACAACAAAAATAAAAGTAAGCCCAGGCCGGGGATTTAGCTCAGTGGTTCCGCTGCCTGCCCTGCATGCAGAAGGACCAGAGTTCGATCCCCGGTACCAAAAAGAAATAACAACTATAAATAAAAAATAAAAGTAAGCCCCCAAAATGATTATAAAATAGTCAAAGAAGAACCAAACTAGAGCCAGGTGAAATCCGAGACACAGTCTAATCTAACTTCTTCATACCCTTCACTTACAGATGAGAAAAGAGAGGCTGTAAGAGGTGAGATGCTTCATCCAAGTTAAACAGCTCATTGAAAAGAGAGACAAAACTCAGGGTTACCTGACTCAAAATCTTGGTATATTTTTAAAATAGTATAACGCATTTTACCAGTCATTAGAAACCTTTTCCAACTTAGAAAATAGAAACCAGTAAGCTCTAAGTTAAAAAAAAAAAAAAAAAGTCAGTAAGCACAAAACAAAGAAATGTTTGCAAGTTATATAAGTCTGTTACATGACAAAAACTTTAGGGTAATAATAATAATCCACCTTAATAATATTACCTATTATTATTAAAGTCTACTTCAGAAAATTTAACAAGCTTGAAAAAAACCAAAAAGTTAACTTTACTAGTAATGGTAACTAGCAAAATAATAGAATATTGGGCTACCCACTTGGGACCCCTCCTGCTCCTCAGGAGCTTTCCTATCAATAAATATCTTCCTACTTAAAAAAAATAGAAAAAAATAGAACATTGACTTTTAAAATTCTGAATCATTATATGATAAAAAATTTGTTTCCCTATCTGAAAAAACTGGTACAGTGCTCAATAAAGTGAGAATAAATTATAAAAAAGTTATCATACCAATAAAAATATCCATAAAGGACAAAATAGACTTAAGTGATTATTTTTTTAAAAATGTGAAGGAAGTAATCCCTCAATGCATTTACAATGATTGAATTAGCTTATTTTATAGGAAGGAAGGTTGTACTGGCTTACGGTTTGATTAAAATATTAGTGAAAACTTTACTTTCCTTTATCTTTATAACAACAAAGTTTATTAATTTACATAACAAGTCGGGCCAGGGATTTAGCTCAGTGGTTCCGCCACCTGCCTCGCAAACGCAAGGGCCTGAGTTCGATCCCTGGTACCAAAAAAAAAAAAATCTTTACAAGTCAACAAAATAGGAATGTCTGAAAAGATGACTGGTTCTGGATAGATTTTAACATTTTCTTTCCTAGAAGATTTGGATCCTGAGAGAAAGTATAATCCTATATCAATGTGAACACTAAAGAAGTAGAGGATTAAAATTAGAAAAAAATACCCCAGGAGACTGATTACAGTCAGAGGAAAGGTGAAGGATGTTTAGTCTTCCTTTTCCAAAACTCATAACTGAAACAACCACCCACACACATACATGAAGAGAATTAAATTATAAAGAGATGCCAACATATTTTTATATAAAATAGATCAGCATTATATAAGAATAATGTATAAAATTGTGTAACTAATAGCAAACCACTGAATTAAATGTAAATATTGTACTTTCTCCCATTTTAATTGGTCATAAAAAGCTTAAAAGAATCATGAGTTCCTTTGTAAATCTTGGGTCTATGAAAATGCTATCCATGGTTTGTGAACAATGGTACACAGGTTTTTTAAAAAAATTCACACACACACATACACACACACAAGTTATAGTGATCACCTTTTTAAAACTTGCTCTCGGGCCAGGGATTTAGCTCAGTGGTTCCGCTGCCTGCCTCGCAAGCCCAAGGATCCAAGTTTGATCCTGGTACCAAAAACAAAACAAAACAAAAAACTTGCTCTCAACTAGAAAGAATCAGGTAACATAGTTAACTATACTCAGAAAACAAGTTACAGGGCTCAGCTTCCTCTTTATATTGTTCTTATAAATCTCAGTCAAGCCAAACTAACATATTTATATAATTACATATAAAAGGAAACATAATGGAGATCCCCCAATTTCTGATGGAAATGACCTATAAATTCAACCTTATAAAATTTGAGCACATACTCTGGTGTAGCATACATCAAAGAGCCAAACAATTTAAAAGCACAGCTACTCTTGAAAAGGAAACTTTTTTAAAAAAAAGGTTAAATAGGGCTGGGGATTTAGCTCAGTGGTTCCAGCACCTGCCTCGAAAGAGCAAGGTCCCGAGTTCGATCCCCGGTATCAAAAAAAAAAAAAAAGGTTAAATTTAAGGATTACACCAAATGAATATTGGTCTAATTGCCTACTTTGTTACTGTTAAAAATAAATACTACAAAGACCATATTCTTATTTTCTATAATCCTAAATTCTAACAAAAAGAGTACCAGTATAGCAATTTTATAGGTTATGAAACACTATAAATATTATCTTATTTGATCCTCACAACATCCAGTGAGGTAGGTTTGGACTGAAAATTACCTTCTATTCATTTTATACTGAGACCACAAGAAATTAAATGACCAGTCCACTTGACATCATAATCATGGATCCTTAAATTCCAAGCCCAGGGACATTCTCATTATGTTAGATTATGTAAGTCATCTAAATATGATTATACCTAAATGTATCTTTGGCATGTCAAAAAGTAATATAAATATCACCATACTGAAGTTTTGGTATAATAATGTCTTCTAAGCTCTAGCCAATGGTCTGCTGTTTTATCAACAAATTGTAATTATTCTTATTTCATGGGGATATAGCCTGAACGAAGACGGGTACAATTTCAGATATTTCCATGAGGTGGGAAATAACTACCTCTAATGAGATAGGTTAAAGAGATTCTTAGAATTTTTATAAATCTGCTTTAAAAAGCAGTAGAAAGGTTTGCTAGAATATTCATTCACTCAAATGGTGCACAGAGCTCTAACTTAGCATGAGGCTAATAGGAGCTTAATTATTTCTAAGAGTAACTGTTCACTATTAATATTAATTTAAAAGTCTGGCACATTTGTACATACACTTTTTTAATTAAAACAGTAACACTCTAGGAGAAGTAAGTGTCATATAGTGTAATTTATGCATTTCTAACTCATTTCACTTAGTTTAAATTTAAATTGCTTGACATGAGTTGTTCATGAATTTAAATATTTATTTAAAAACTTACTATATGCTAAGTTTTGTGCTAGTTCTTGGGTTAGCTGTTCTTTGAAACAAATTATTGTTTTGAGCCTAGTACTTTCGTAGATCTTTTACCTAATTCCTGGATAAAACAATATTGCTGAAATCAAAGCACTTTTCAAAAACCTTTAGATGATATATTAACATCCTAGAGAGAACCATTGTTTTCTTAGTTGTCAACTGTACAAATAAAACATTAAACACAAATTAAAGTTAAACAGAAGGTAAGAAAACTGTCCAGACTTCTTCAAGTTGGTTGAATCAAGTTGAGACTTGATGTTGTTGTTTTGCTATAGTTCTTCAATGGTCTCTTCAAAAAGAAAAAAATTCTTAATTTGGAGCACTAGCTTCATAATAAATAATATGGTCCAAACTGTTTCTTAAAACAATGGATTAACAATGTTACATAAATTTTGTGGAGCAAAATTAAAATATTACCAAGGAGTCAATGTAGCATTCACATATATACCAACAATCAGTTTAATAGAGAAGATACAAATAAATATATAAAATCTGGATGCATAAAGTTAAGATTTTCATAGCAATGTTCACTTAACGTCTATACTTGGCCCAATTATTCAGGATTACCCATTTTGGCAGTTGGTAATATAATGCAGATGGTGATAGATGACAACATCTTTAAGCTCAAACTGGTACTTTCTATTTTAACTCCTTATTTTTGCTTGTGAATGTTTTTTCTGTTCTCTTATGCTGTTTTAGGAAAGATTATCAGACGGAAAGCTTCATGAACGATTGCTTTATTTATCAATGAGTTGTAATTTGGGCCTTCAGAGAAAAGGTTTATTAACTGTCAGATCTGAGGGAATTCAGACCTTGGCTATTTGAGTGCTAACTCTAGTTCCAAGGAGAAAGACAAGTAAAAAGAATAACATTTTGGGTCAAATGTGTGGGTCAAATCTTATGGAGAATTAATGTTAAGATTTACGTACTCTAAAGGAACCAACATGATATACAAATAAATTGTGGCTCCTGGAAAACTGACTCTTTTGCCTGATGAAAACTTTTTTCAGACACCCAATATCTTGGTAGCCTTTGTCTTAAAAGGGTGAGAGAGAAATATACACACGATTTAAACATATGTCAAGAAATGTACTACAATGGACCTCAGAAAAACCTCTTAAATCCTCAATAATTTGAATCCTTTATATTTCATAATCCTTTATAGTTCATTCTGAATTTTTTTTTTTTAATTTTGGTATTGGGGATCAAACTCGGGACCTTGCACTTGCAGGGCAGGCAGTGGCACCACTGAGCTAAATCCCAGGCCCAATCCTTTATAGTTTCAAAGAGCTTTCATATGATTGTTTTCATTTGACCTTATTAATTTGATAACTTTGTGAGGTAGGTAGAGTAGATGTTTATTTTCAATCTTCATTTTCAAACAAGGAGACCCAGGCTCAGAGAGCCTGACTTGTTAAAGGTCAAAAACTAGCATATGGCAGAGCCAGGCCTCCCTAGAGTCAAGAATATTTTTTCTAAGTGTAATTCCTGGATTACCTGCATAAGAATCACCTGTGATAATTTTATAAATATAGATTTTAAAGTCCTACCACCTTTGGCTTATTGAATAAGAATTCCTAGGAGTGGAGCTAAAAATTCTGCATTTTATGATTGACAATAAAGTAGAAAACAACTGTGTATCAGGTAATGATGTACAAGCACATCACTGAATCCAGCTAGATTTCATGCAGTACAGTGTGATGCCATCAGATCATCACCAGGCAGGGCAAGTGAGTTTAAAACAGTAGTTTCAAGCCTGGCTGCAAATTAGGATCATCAGGAAAATTCTTTCATTTATTTTTAAGTTAATATCAACTCTTATTTGAATGAGGGAAAGATGTTGAATTCAACACCTTTCCCTAAGTGATTCTTACCTGCAGTCAGGGCTGAAGATCACTTGTATTTTCTACATAATATATCCAACATTTTCCAGAATTTTTCTTTTCCTTCTGATCAACTTCATGCCTAATAGAATTCACTATCATACCGTAAGTTATTTAAACATTACAAGATAAAATGTCACTTTTAACTTGATAGTTTTAAGAGTAATAGATATTCATAGCAAGACTAATCATGCTCCATTTAGTTACAATGATTTTCAAATACCCAAATTAATCACTTTAGGCTTAGATTACATATATTTCTTCTTGAAACAAGGATGATCCAGAAACTGAAAACAGGCATGTGGAGCAAGAGCTGCAGCCAACTGGTTACTGGCAATGCAGGAGCAGACACTGAGCTCATTACAGGAAGGCCCTGGGTACCAAGGCCCATGGCTTTGGCAAGGTCACTGACACCACTGTAGAAAAGTACAACAATGAGCAATTGTGGTTACCCCAAAAAGCCTTATAATGTGTGATGTTTATTACATGCCTCACAGAGCATATCTGAACATGAAGTTTTCTATGAATCAATACTATAACCTGGGAAAAGATGGCTACAAATCAAAATTTTTCTATCATGCACATTGATAAGTTATAAAAATAGCCAGCAAAAGTAATATTTACAAAAAATAAAAAAAACTGTTATGGGGAAAATGCCCATCTCTGCTTTTATTCCATTGCTAAACCAAATCCTGAATATCTCTGAATCAAGTTTATTTTGATAGAATTTCAAGAGAACCTCCCATAGACTAATCAGATTCTTCTGTTGACTTAAATTCTATTAGTGAAAATACCCTTGCTGATTTATCAAATTCTCCCATAGTTTAAAAACAGTTCTTTTTTCACATAGTGGAAATAAAACTACAAAGTCCTGCTATTTATCTGAGAAATAAACCTTGCATAGAAAACTTCTTTAATTCTGAAACTTTGTGTTATTAACAGAGCTACCAGAATGTTACCTCACAATTAGTTCATATTATACGAAAATTCACTACAAAGCAATCACCACACATTTAGGATTTTTCTAAATATAAAATAAGTGGGTTTATAAAAATGCTTACCAGACAAATAATTATCTCTTTACAACCTAGAAAGAATTATTTCTGTGATGATATAATTCTTAGTGTTTTGGATGTCTTGATGTTTCAAGTTTGATTCAATACAAAAAGCGAAAATTTACCCTCCCAATGGACACAATCTGCACCTGACTGAAACCAGGCTGACAGTGAGTTACAGCCATCAGTCATGCACAGGCAAAGAACAAAATCTGCTTTTCCAACAGCACACATTTTCTGCCTTGGACAGACACATTAAGCGCTGGTCCCGTCCTCTTCAATAACCCGGTTCATGCTGGTGCCGTGTGTGATGTGAGTCAGGGGGTTGTTACTGAGGTCGCGGATGCTGCTGTGCCGTGACTGCTCATTCAGCCGGTGGGAACTACTGTGCCTGGAGTGATCTGTCAGTCGTGACATGCTGCCGTGAGGTAGTCTCTCCTCCATCCCTCGGTAACTGCAGGGAGTGTACCTGAGGTGGGAGAGGTGATTTCGAAGTAGGTAACAGAACACACTAGAAAATAACTAATATTTTTCATGAACCTGTCTCAGGGAGTGAAATGATTAAGGAACCAATAATGAGAAAGCAGTAACCATTTTTTATTGTTGAGAATAAGTTCGTTAACAATGTATAATTATTTGACATGGTTAATAAAGAAGGGGAGTAACCTCAGGTTCAGAAATAAGGCCCTCTTCCTTGCAAAAAGACAAATGCTAAGGTTAAGTAAGGCTGACTGACTGGAGCTGTGCTAAGTATGGATACTTTCTCACTCAAGTAAATTTGGGGCAGTGGGGCAGGTTGAGGAAGAGGAAGAATGACAGCAGAGAAAGGTGGCACTGCCCTTGGCAATCTAGAAGACTGGTTACGCTCAGCAGTAGTGCAAACTCAAATTTACTCAAACACAAGGATTGGAAGGGGGAATATGTGAAATCAGAGGTGAAATTAGTGAATGAATTGGCAAGTGCTGACGACAGTGTGTGCCAACAGCTTCTTCCCAGACAGCCCCATGAACAGCTGAATTAGCCACCTGTACTACGTCCCAACACTCTGAGGCCTAGGCTCCTGCTGCAACCAATTCCTGTTACTCTCACAGAGGCCCTCTCTGACCTCCGAGCTGTCACTTGGCCCACACAGCACAGCTCAGGCAGCCTCCTCCATCACTCTTCCTATCCTGAAAGGCAGCACTGGCACTGCTCAATTTTCTTTTCTTGCAATCCTGACTCCCTGAGCCCCACCAGAGGCAAGAATACTGTAAAATCCTCTGCCATGAAGAATGAGACATTATTAGCTCTAGGCCAGCCAACGCCAAGAAAGTCAATTATGATATTTTTTATTAGTCCTTCATTTATAGAGCTTGTATGCTGTTTATCCAATCTTTCTGGTTTAACAGTAAACTCTTTCAGGGTAAGGACCGTATTTTATTTCTCTTTTAATCTCTAGTGCTTCAAGAAATACTTTTCTAAAATGTCTTCATTCATATTCTCATACATTCTTTTATAAAATATATTTAATTTAGGATAATAAAATGCAAATAAAATGGAGTATAGTTTATAATTTCAATGAATATACTGTTAGTGTGTTTTGCTTTTGCAGTGCTGGGGAGCCATCCCAGGGCCTTGGAGTGACAGGCAAGTGATCTTCCACTGATCTACAATACAATCCCAGCCATCTAAAAAAAGTAATCATCAAGGGCCAGGGATTTAGCTCAGTGGCACTGCGCCTGCCTGGCAAGCACAAGGTCCAAAGTTCAATCCCCAGTACCAAAAAATAAATAAATAAAATAAATAAATAAATAAAATCATCAAAATAACTAATCATAAGCAGCTGAGGATTTATTGGCTGTTGAAAAGCATTCACCTCATAATAATAATTGCAACATATCTCATGACTCAATGTAAATCATTTACAAAATTTAAAGATTTGAAAAAACAGGTTTATATGCTACTAAAGTGGCCCTCTAGTTTTATAGCACTGCTTGTCAAAGAATGTTTTCATTAATTGCAGTTTAAAAATTAAGAAGTGCTTTGAAAATAATTTTTTAAAAAGAACATCTTTGTCCCCAAATGAAAAAAACAGATAAAAGAGACTTTAATTCTTATTTATTAAAAAACATTTCAAGCTAAGCACAGTGGAGCACACTTGTAATCCCACCTGTTCAGGAGGCTAAGGCAGGAGAATCTTGAATTCAAGGTAAGCCTGGGCCATGCGGCAAGACACTGAGACACCACCTCAGTAATAAAAGGGTACTTTATATTTAGGACCTATGCAAATTTAAATTTGTACTGCATGTTTTAGTAAAATAATTACAATATCTTGAGAAGAAAATAATTCACGATGGGTTTGTTTTACTTTAATAATCATTTTACATAATGATTATTGTCCTAAAACTAAGTGGAAGATTTAATTTCCAAATATGATTTGCCAGCTGATTCGGAGACTTTTTTGCCTCTCGATGGTTTCATACATCTTTCCCCTCTAAATGGTTTCATGAGCATCTATTTCAAACAAATATGGCAAATGAAGAAAGGAAACTACGCAGTGTTCCAGTAAGGACAGAAAATCAAAAAGAGAAACAAGGGCCGGGGATTTAGCTCACTGGTTTCGCCGCCTGCTGTGCAAGCCCAAGGCCCTGAGTTCAATCCCTGGTACCAAAAAAAAAAAAAAAAGAGAAACAAATCACTATTTTAAAATATGAATATTTTCTAACAAAGTCTAAGCTTTGAGTTATAAATAAGACACAAAGAATATATTTTTCACACAAAAATTATTTTGTATAATTACATATATACACACTATTCAAAAAAGTTCTTGAATATGAACAATTATCAAATATGAATACCCTTTCTATGGATAATTAGGAAGCAATTAAATAGAAAGTTAATTATAATGTTTAATCTAAATTGTGTATGTAGGAATTCCCAAATTTATTTATGTTTTGAAAGTCATTTAAACCAAAGTGATTACATACTCTAATATACAATATGAAAATACAATAATTTTAATATAAGCTTAGGCAAAACAATTAGGATACTTATTTTGATGTTGCTGTTAAAAAGATATTATGGACATGCCAAAGTCAAAATGAAAAAAACTTGGAGATGATCTCTTTGGTTTTTTTTTGGTACCGAGGATCGAACTCAGGTCCTTGCGCTTGCAAGGCTGGCAGCAGAACCACTGAGATAAATCCCCGGCCCCCAGATGATCTTTTTTTGATTCCCCATGCCATTTGCTACCACTAATCTAAATAACTGCATTACCTGCAGTTTCACGGTATCTCATTATTCACTCCCTAGCTTTCCCTTGTATGTCACCTACTTTCCAACCTGATCACTCTCTCCCAAATCTCCACTTACCTACTCTGCCACCTTCTCTGTTGCCCATCCCTCATCTAACTACCAATCAGTTGCCCTCTGAAGTTGCCATATGTGTGTAGGTGTACTGTACACAGTACGGAGATCAATAATTACCATCCAGGTCTGTATCAGGGTAAGTGCTGGGTATCTGAGTCCCACAGCCAATATATGAGATGGTGACGGGAGGCCAAGAAGTCTCTAGGAGGTGGCTTTGGAATTATGAAAATCCTCACTCAGACTTTCAGGTTCAACACAATCTTGGGATCTCTCAAATGATCCCTGAACTTCTGGGTATGATAGAGGGTCCTATAGCAGAAGCTCATGTGCCACAGTACAGCAGGCCTTCAATAGGCTGCCCTGTAGCTCTGGGCCTTGAATTTCTGGAAACTTCTGCATTACTCTTAAAGTCATTATTTATTTGGTAAATATATATACATATGTATATCTGTCTAGCGCTGTGCTGTATATTGAGGAGGAATACAGAGATATGTCACCCAGTCTCATTCTCCAGAAGTTGCAAATTTGGCTGAGGAAAGAAACTACTGAAAATAGATCATAATCAAAAGAATGATAAAGATAAAAAGCAGTACATTAACTGCCATGGGCACTGGAATTACACAGGCCTGGAGAACAGGTGTGACTCTGATTAAGCGGAAAGGTAGGAAGGGCCATTATTGGAAGTCATAATCTAGACTGAGTCTCAGGCCATATATGTGAAGCACAGATTTTCTCATCTGTCGTAAGCACTTTCTTTGACTCTCATGCCCACTGTTCTCCTCCCTACCGTATTATTACTACTGTAAGTATTTACTAAGGTCTTGGTATTTTTATTGTAACTTAAGAGATTCTATCTCACAATTTTAATAACCAACTACCTTAATGGATGATTATACATTTTATTTAAGCTCCAGTTCCTCTCAGATTATAGTAGCTGAAAACTCCTACCTTTAACTGTTCCCAGAAATTCTCTACTCAATAGGACTTATCTTTACCATTCACTCACCCTATTGTCTCCTGTAAGATATTTTCATGGACTACTTCTTCTCCTTCCTGAATTTCTGCAACATCTATCATCTCTAAAACTATTTAAATTGTATCTTGGCTTGAGCTTTTATGTAACTGGTTCATTTGCATATGTCCTATCTTGTCTATAAGGTTACAGAAATTAATCTTACTTTCTTCTATATATGTTTATACACGGAATGTCACATGTACAGGAGTTGTACTGTAACTGCTATTCATTATTAAAAAGGATAAGGCCAATAACGTCAAATGTCAATGCTGAAAGTTCATGGAAGTGGTGATTGATTAATATATTCTAAAGGACTCTATGATTCTCTCCTTTCTTATTGGTATCTTATGTTAGGGTTGCTAAGTCACTGTAGAAGCTTCCTCATTGGTCTTACTTACAATCTTCTTTCCTATGCTGTTGCCAAGTGCTTTTTCTAAAATTCAAGTCTGATTTTATCACTCCAATGCTTAAAGTCCTTAATAGTTTCTCAGTTCCATCAGGGGAAAATCCAAATTCCTCAGCGTGGTTTCATCTCCTAAAATTGTGCAAAGGCACATACTGTGCTCTGGGCCATACCCAGGTAGCTGACAACCTGCCTACTCCTTGCCTCTAGTGTGCTGTTTCCCCACCTTTCATTCCCAGCTGACTCCTCTGAATCCTATTGGAAGTACAATAGGGAAGCTCCTTGGGAAGCTGTCTCTGACTTTCCATGTGAGAGAGGTGATTTTCTTCTCTGGGATACCAAAGCACCTTGTGCATACTTTTTGTGCATAATTGTGCATATGCCTGTTAAAGCATACTGTAATTGTTTAGTTTCTGTCTTCCATCTCTGCATTTTTAGAACTTAAAAGAATGTTTCTCATATAGAAGTGCTAAGTGGAAGGAAAGAACCAAGAAGGAGAAAGAATCATTAACTGTGGTTAAAAACAAGATACTGGTGATGTCAGAGGGTGCAGTTTAGGTAAGTAAGAGGCAGAAAAAGGCTTTACAAGAGAGGAAGGGAAGGATAGAAAAGAGATACTCAAAATACTGATTTCAAAAATCTGCCAAGGCAAAGAAAAATAGATAAAAGAAGATATAGCAGAGTCAAAATAAGATGGCTACTTTTTTTTTTTTTTTGGTATTGGGGATCGAACTCAGGTCCCTGCGCTTGCGCAGCAGGTGGCGAAACCACTGAGTTAAATCCCTGGCCCTGGATGGCTACTTTTCGAAACACAGTGTAGCTCAAGTTAGGAGGCAAAAGAGCAAGTTAAGAGAAAAAAGCAGGTCAGAATGGGAGTATAGGAGAATGGGAGTATAGGAGGACAGAGAGAAAACTAAAAGAAGGCGGGACTAATAGGTACAAACACTGCTGATTTTAGGCATTAGAATTTTCATTCAGTTTCCTGAACTAGAAATCTGTGTAAAAAGGTAAAAAATAAATCTTTCTTTTTTCTAGCAGCTACATGAATCTGCCACCAACTCCCATCTTTTCTTCTGTGTATCTCTGAGGTCAGTTCTTTCTCTCTTCCCACTGCCACCACTCTCCAGGGAGCCTTTCTCGTCTCTCAAATGTCTTACTGCAAGGCTCCTAAACAGTTTCTACTCCCAGTGGCTCAACTCTCAAAATTAACAAGAAAAGCCCAGCCAGACATCTTGCAAACATTCTTTCTGTGGGCACTGCCTGAAAGGCTCTTCCACCACTGAATGATCACTTCCTCTATTCTTCTACTGTACCTAGTAAACGTGAGCTGGCAAACTATGGCCTCATGGCCAAAGCTGCCTCCTTTCTGATTTTGTAAATAAAGTTTCATTGGGTCACAGCCACTCCCATTTGACTACTTTGTGTCTATGACTATCTATGATTGCTTTCACACCGTAACAGAACTGAATAGTGAGTGGCAACAGACACGGTTGACTCATAAAGCCTAAAATGTTTATGATCTAACTCTTTATGGAAAAAGTTTGCCCACACCTGGACTATATTATTGTATTTACATTTTACTTTAACTAGAAAGTGATATCAGACACTCACTGTACTGTTCCAAGTGACAAGGTAGGTTATCTCATTTAATGTTTACACTGCTAACAGGTCAGATGCACTATTTCTATTTTATAGATGAGGAAACTGAGACCTATCTTTTAGACCCATGTTCTTAACCACCACAGTGGCTACACTATCTTTCCAAACAGTCTGGAAGGTTATTAAGAGCAAAGCTCATGCGTAAGTCATCTTTGTATTCCCAGAGGCTAGCACAGTGCCACGTAGGTATTCTGTCATTGTTTACTAAATTAATCTTACTAACCCAACCACAGTGCCCCACAATGATCCCATATTGCTTACTTTACTGTAGCTAGTCTAAGTTCTAAAGTCCTTTCACTGGCTTTATCTTCTGCACCCCTATACCGGGGATGGGACTCAGGACCTGCACTTTCGAGGCAGGCGTGATACCACTGAGCATAATCCCCGGCCCCTCTAACTGGCTTTAAATATGGGATGATTCTATTTAGCAAAGTTCAAAAGACTCTGGGAAACTTGTTTCCAAACTGGCTATTCTTCATTCAGCACATGACAAGCTAAGTCATCACAAAACCCACCTGCCATCCCGTGACCGGTGCAGGCTGCCGTGGTAGCTGCTCACTTTGCTGTGGACACTCCCTGCTTTGCTCCTTTGATCATCCACCATGGCCAGCTGAGTTGAAGATGCATGCGTGGACGTTCCTTGGGTGGACGTTCCCCTGGATTTTCTTATAATGGGAGTATTTGGGTCCCTTAGGAGTGACTGAGCAAAGTCAGGTTCCTGGAGTACCTGTCGGCTCTCATTCACTATCCTAGAAAATACAATAATGTGTTTAAGATACATACTAACATCCCAGGAGAATAGACCAATTAAAAAAATACTGCTATGCAATACCGATACTATTCTTGAAATTGGGTCTCCAAAGTAGGTCATTAGGACTGATTTAAGGTAACGCTGTTAACAGGGGAAAGAATTACAAGAAAAATCCAGGTCAATCTGTTTCCTAAAGTGGCACAATGGAAAGAAGCCTGTTTTAGAAAAAGGAAATCAAGATTCTGATTCCAACTCTATCAATAAATATTTCATCTTAGGCAAATCACTAACCTTTCTGTCCTTCATTTTCCTTATCTAAAAAATGAAAGTATATACTAATTTCACCATTTCTAAAAAGGTCTCTTTAAGCTAAGGAAATTTACAATTCTCAAGACACCAAAATATTACAAAGATTAAGTCCCAGGCATACTAACAGCTGAGGAAAAAAATTTAAAGAGATGAATTATTGTCAGGATCAAAGGTTTTTAATTGCTATGAAAGGGTTAAAAGTAACTGTTTATGATGATTAAATAGCAGGAATTAAATTAATAAAAGAGAAAATTAAATAGATCTTTAGGTGTGTGTTTATGTAAATGATTATGAGAATCAGAGTTATAATCAGATAAGCAATTTCACTAAAAAATAAAACTCCAACATGTACAGACTGGATCACATATTGGGAAAGTATATTCTAATTCTCAAATTATAAAAGGATTTTTGCTGTTGTTTTTGGTAATAGGGTAGAAGGGTTGAAGAGAAGCTAATATTTGTTGACTAAAATTCTCTGATTCTCTTGATAATGTTATTTTTGATTTTTAAAAAATTATAATAATACAAATAGATAATGATTGTCTTTACAGAAAGAAAATATATGTTAATCTGAAAGCCAAATGTTTAATGGGAACACTAGAAGCCACTAGAAATGTTCTCATTAAAAACAGAAATATAAGAGTATGTACCACTACCACTCTTAATTAGCCTCATTTCAACAGCTCCAGACTGCAGTTAGAAGAAATACATTAAGATTATATAACTTTTACATGTATTAGAATAGAATAATAGTTGCTCTTTCTACGTCACTTTTGGTATACTTAGAAGAACAATGGACAACTGTAAATGCAAGTTTAATTCTCAACATTAAACACCTGTGCAACTTTGGCCAGGCACTTAACCTTTGTCCTATTTTTCTCATCTGTAAAACAGAGTTGAGAATACATACCAATCCTCACAGGACTATCACGAGGATCAAGTAAAAACTTATATGAAGGAATTAATTTGTTTTCACTTTTAACAAAATTATAATTTGGATTTTTTCATAAAGATCAGGCTTGCTTCAGATATTCTGAATTAGTAAAGGAACAGACCTCAGGCATGGTTCCACTTGGCTATCTTTTTGAAATCAGACTTTAGATTTTAATTACAAAATGGTATTGTGCCAATCATAACTGCTGGTTGCTGACAAAGTTACAGTCTTGTTTGAATACTTGAATACTCTAAATCCAAACTGTTTTAACATAAGCAACACAAAAAACTCACATAGATGGAATGTTTATGAACACTGAGAATTTATGAACTTACTCTTTTTTCCTACGACCATGAAAAAAACTGGCCCATTCAAAGCATGTCTTTTTGCTTCCAACCCAAAAAATAGAGGGAATACCAACTATGAGAGCCATCAGGTACTTCATCAGAAAGAGAATCAGGTCTGGACGACTCATTTGAGTAACCTGTAAGAGGCCAGAGAAAAATATCTCAAATACAGAAAATGAACTTTCTATTACAGGCCATTATTTAAAAATTTAAACAAAATAAGCAGCAGTAAGCTAATCTACAAAGTTGACATTTTCACTTATGAGGTTCTGTGGCAATTTTCTTATTTTAAGATTCACCCCTCAAAATCTGATGATAAACTTACACTCTATGTATTGGCTCCTGTATTTTTCTTATTGGCTGACAGTAAACATCTGCTAAAGAAAAGTTTGCTTATGTAGAAAATAAACCTCAGATAGGCCTAGACATCTACTTTCTTCTTGCCAATTTAAGCAGTGGGGAAGCATTACTCTCCTCCCCTCATTTTATTAATTGTTTTTCTTTAATCTGCCTTTCCTTCTCCCCTACTTCCTGTGTACTCTGCCAGCTGTTTTCAAGCCCCTTGTTATAACCTATGAGTTAGTTAGAAGTACATTTTTCTAGTTTCTTGTCAACTGAAGTTTTTCAAGTTTCTTTTTATTGCCCATTTCAAGTTTAATTACTATGGTCAGAGAATATGGTATGTATGTAGCTGGTTACTTTAAATGTTGGAGACTTTATGGTGACTTAGAACACAGTTAATTTTTATATTTCTTGGATGCTCTAAATTCTCTATTGTTGGGTACAAAAAAATCTACATTAGACTACATTTACTGGTTCTGCTGTTCAAACCTCTTGTATTCTTTACTGATTTTCTGACTGCTTACTTATTTTTATTAGGGATATGGTAAAAACCTCTCACATGACTGTGAGCATGTCAAGTCTAATCCTGTGAATTTTCACTTTCATTTCTATGTTAGGTTTAAGTTTGGGAATTCTCTGTCTAATATTAACATTGCCACATTATCTTATTTCTTCCCCACACCAGCATGTTTTCAAGAATTTTTTTCCTCTTTACCAAGCATTTCTTTCAAATTTGTGTTTGTCGTGCCCTTTTTTTTTTTTTTTTTACAGAATTTAAAAGGATATGGAAAGCATATTACAAAAATCTTTTTTGAAATAAATTTGACAA